TACTTTATTTTTACTTTACTTTTACTGCGTAGTTTTACGTACCTATTCCTGGAAACAAGAAGGTAGTTACTGGAGGCATACCTCGGAGGTATTGTAGGTTCGCTTTCAGATTACCGCTATAAAGCGAATCACAAAATATTTTGGTTTCCCAGTGCATGTAAAAGTTATGTTGACACTACACTGTAGTCTCTTAAGTGTGCAATATGATGACATCTAAAATGCAATGTACATACCTTAATTAAAAAATACTTTATCCTTAAAATATACTAGGCATCATCTGATATTTCAGCGACTCGTAATGATTTTGCTGATGGACGGTCTTGTCTCGATGCTGATGACTGCTGACTGATCAGGGTGGTAGATGCTGCAGGCTGAGGTGGCTGTTGCAAATTTCTTGAAATAAAAAAACAGTGAAATTTTCTGAATTGATCTACTCTTCCTTCCACGAAAGATTTCTCTGTAGCTTGCGATGCTGTTTGATAGCATTTTTACCCATAACAGAACTTCTTTTTAAACTAAATTATACATGTAATATATAATAATAATAATAATAATAACAATGAAAAAGTTTGAAATATTGCGAGAGTTACCAAAATGTGATATAGAGACACGAAGTGAGTACATGCCGTTGGAAAATGGCGCCGATAAACTTCCTCGACGCAGGGTTGTCACAAACATTAAATCTGTAAAAAGCGCAATATCTACGAAGTGTAATTAAACGAGGTATGCATGTACTGCGCTATACTTAGAGAATGGTAGCTAAATAGCTAACACTTTGGCAGGAAACTCCAAAATTTCAATATCGTGAATACCACGGCTCGTCTATGGACGAGATCATTCTATACGTTCAATCCAGTTGCCATTGTCATCACACAGGGAGTGAGGTCCATCTTAATACTATCTTCCCATAGATATTCGGAGAGGCCTTTCCTAATAAGCCTCCGCAGCAAAATTCTGCATGAATTAATGTCTCTCTGTACCCACATGCCAACATAGCCCAGTGTCGTTTCCTTCCATGATTTCATGAAACATTTCGTTACGGGCCTGAAAACACGAACATTACTAATGTTATTAGTTGCGTACGGTTTCAGTTATTTCGCCATCCGCCAAGAAATCAGGTTAAACAAGCACAGATGATTCTCGAGTCTGTTGAAATGTATTTGTTTAGTTACATCTCACCTCCTGTAAAGCAGACTGAGCATTGAACAGCGCGATTTTGTGCAATACAAAAACATCCCACTTGAAGTAATTCGCTAAACTGCATAAACAAAAATGAACGTCGCGTGATGAAAGGTGACCCAGAAGGAATTATCTTTATTTTCTTGTATTTTTCGTCTACGGACGTTAACTAGGCCGATCACAGCGGCTGCGCGGTCTAAGGCATGAACTCTCTTCGCTCGCTCGAAAGCTGGCGTCGTGGGTTCGAATCCCACTCAAGACATATATGTCTGTGTGTGTGTGTGTTGTCGTGTGTGTAGGGAGTGGCCTTGAGACGGCCTGGTCATTCGTCCGAGGAGTTCTACCGTTTGTGTAACAGAGATTACGAAAATGAAGAAAAAGCCAAAGCCCAACAAAGGCTGTAGAGCCATTGATGAATGAAAAATTGAAAAGACGTTAAGCAGGCTAAGAGCAAGGAAGGATAATGGTGAACGCTTTTGTTCGTGACACGAATCTCTGCGATATGACAATGACTTGTGACTGAATAGCCAAAAGTCAATCTAAATTAAACTACCAGACATTTCTTTATACTGACAATAATTCGATTATCTTCATTATAGCTTTCATTTCAGGGAAAATTTTACGTGACTTAAGGAATTTTTATAAAGGTAAATGCAAAGTTGTCCGTTTGCTTAATTAAGCACCGCGCCGTGAAAACATATAAGGAAGTGAACGTATAACCCCCACAAACTTTCTTAAGTTCTGCATTAAATAGAGGTGAGTAGTAGTTTCATGCATCAGTTATGAGGGGAGTAATCGGATAGGAGGCCGGATGGGCCCCAGAGAAAAGCTGTGGCCATGCCGAAAACTGAATCCAATCGTTCATCCTGTAGCCAATTACTACGTTAACTGAGCTATCAACTGTTTTCTTTTCCACAGGGTGACAGTGGGGGGCCCTTGGCCACTGAACGCGACGACAAGAAATTCGAACTCATTGGTAAGTATCAGAAAGCCAGTGCATGTTAAGAACGTGACTGAGGTTAGCGCTTTCTAAGGGAACCAGAAGAGTACGTGTCTCCACCCCCTCCGTCTCACCTGAGAACAGAAACAGATCCAGTTTCCGAATCGCTGTGTTTCCTAGTTTCTAGAATACCGGACGATAGACAACGTTCGAAAACCCAGTAATTTCTATGTACTATAGACCATCGTCAGAAGCCTTTAGATCTATATGAATGTTTCTGTCAGTTGACCTTCGTATTGTAATGGCAGGACGGCTCGTTACAAGAGGCTGTCATGTGAGTTCACTTCAGTATGTGATATTCATTTTAGCATTGCCCTTGATTTACATAGGTCACCGTATGGTTCTCCACTACAATTTTGCATGCAATTACCGTTTACTCCATGCTTCTCATTCCTACCTTCTTGACTTAGCAATGCAACAAAAAATGTGTAAAAACATTTTCCTTTTATCGTATTTTCCTTCCTTAAAGAAAAACAAAGCAATTCCAGAGATTAAGAAGAAAGTCG